CCCAGGTTCTCCGTTGTGTAACCATACTAGTTATCCTTCTCCCCTCAAAAGCTGTAAATCACTAAGGGTTTCTCCAGGGACCTTCAATTCTCCATCCCACCAGTCCTTCATTAATGGCTAATCATTGCACTTCTCAAAAGCAACAGGTTGAAAGGGAACTTGCCAGATGACTCTGACAAACACGGATTCTGTCCTTAACGGGATATAGCAGTTTCTGGATTCAGTGAGTTACCCATGCTTGAAATTTAACGTCACTTTAACCCATCCCACCTCCCACATATTGAAACACTGACCCAATCTTCCTGTATTTTTTTCCTTTACCTAGATTTTTCTTATCTATTTTCCCACCTTCACACAATTACTCAGACCACTGTGCAAACCTTGAATAGATTAAAACTAAACTCAGCAAACTCAAATACCAAAATTAAATTGGTCGGTAGGGTTATTTCTACTTTACCAACAAGGAATCAGTTTCTACAAATGAAAAGAGCTGCCCAACATGAAACAGCCCATAATCCCCATGAGTTTATGTCCCATCCACTCCTCCCCCCCTTTGTATAGGAAAGTGACTCTACAGGAAGCCTCTGAATGCCCAGGGCAGGGAAGTCTATACTGACAGGATGATGAGGCTGGAGGCAGCCAGCGGACACTGAGGGGACCCTGAGGAGTGGCTGGCTGACTCTACAGGCCCCTCCTCTCAGGCACTGATCTATTAGCCACTTGACTGCCCTTTCTTGATTTCCTTTCCCTTCATCTCATTTGCTACTTCTTCCTTCACAACAGTTACTATTAGTTCATCTTCCACTGGAGGGAGATTCCTAGACTTCATGAACAAAACATATTCACACCTACTAAATAGCTTACCATACACCCCTACTAAATAAGATTAAAAATTAGGTTTGACTGACTGTGAACTTTACAGAAATCCTCAAGTGGTAAAGGAATACATCACTTCACTACTATAACCACTGGGAAGATTAGGAAGAAAAACAATGAGAACCTCTTTTTCTGAAAAACAAACAAACAAACAAAAAATCTTAGAGCACAAAAACCCTGTAAGAGATTACAGGAGCCACATCCACTCACCACTAAACCAGGAGGCAGCTGAGTATCCTACCCCTAATGACAAACGCCAAGTCCAGAGTCCCATAACCTCCCGAGGCACTTATGAAAACAAGATTTTACTCTATGGCTAGCTAAACTAACACCACACCACATTATTTTATTCTTTCTTTAATAGTGATGCATGTGAGGATTCCTTTCTGCTTTTAAATTGGGATGCTAACTTTTTAAAATTATACTTTAATTTCTTTATCACTGCTATCTGAAGTCACATCTTCCCAAGCAGGAAGGCACTAAGGAAAGAAAAAAATGCTTCCGAAGAAATAGTATAGCATTCCATTTGAGAGGAAGGAGGAAGGGCAAGAAGAAGGCAAAAAACCCACAAATATCTTCAGGGTACTGAACAGTAAAGCACTTCCCTCAGGCATATCAGCTGCTCGCAGATACAATTCACCTCTCCGGCTGAACTCCTATCCTGACAGGAAATCGAAGAAGCTAAGATGTAAAGCCTATTTTTAACACTACAAAGCATATTTTAAAGGCAGTTTCTCATAGTTGAGAGAAGCAGAAATGAAGTTGCTGACACATTCCTGTATCTGCCATCTCTGTCCAAACCCGAGCTCAACAGAAAAGGACAGTATTCATCATGGCTCTTGGTGACAATGACATTTGTGTCCTGCAGCCTTCACATCAGATAGAACTTACTGGTTGGAGTTGTGGTCATCGGCTGATAGGCCTGCGAGAGAGAAACACCCAGACACAAAGGAACCCATGGGGATATGAGTGACTGTAAGTCTCTAATTATCCTTTCTAAATCTGGAACCATGTGACTGGACTTCACACAGCACTGCTGAACCTTGGGGGCCTGAGGCTCCCAGCTGGACCACTAAGGGAAGGGATGCTACTCTTTGCTCCTTCATTAAAGTATTGCATTATGTAGCAGGCTGAGGTGAGCTAGTTCCTGCTGGCAGGCAGCTCAAGCCAGCAGACAGAGCACCATGGATGAATTTAACTATTCCTGTCCTAGTTGGATCCAGTATCTCAGTAGACTTCTTTATTTATATATAATACTTTAAAACGCATATAGTAAGGTAAGTCTCAAACAATGAACCTTCCCCACTAAATTCTGGAATAGGAGAGATCTAAGGAATTCTCTTCTTTGACATACGTGTGTGAGTAGCAGGGAAATGCCAATTCTTCCTGGCTACCAAAATTGGAAGAGGAAAGTAAGTTTTGCTATAGTGAACACTCCCAAACAATTCTACTCACACACACACACACACACACACACACACACACACACACACACACACACACACACACACCACTATCACCACCACAACCAACATTAACAACAACAAACACAGTAGCAATTTGGAGCTAAGCTCTTGAAAATAGACTAATTCAGACATTTGTCTGTTACAGAGAGAAAAGAGAACAAACAAGAAATAATTGTTATAGAAAAATAATAATTACAAAAAATACCCTGGAAGTACAGGACAGTGAAAACACTCTTCTGGGAATTAAACAGCTTGAAATCAGGTACAGGATCTGTCACTACCAAATTTGGCTTTGGGTAATTCCCAGCCAAACTAGGACAGCGATTTGTTGTTATTATAAATAATGTTTTATAAGGTCCCTTTGAAGTTGTAAAAACTTTGTCTACCTATAACTACCTTGAGCCAACTCTCAAAGAACACTAAAGAAAGTGCCCCATCAAGCTGGTCTGCCCTAGCCATGGCAGTGCACACAGAAGGGAGGGATGGATGACCTTGTCAGGATCCTGCAGGAGGAATCTCCTCAAGTTAATTCATTTCTGCATGAGGATTTGGTCTTTTTGCGCTAGGCAGGTGACACAGCTGAGATTTTGCCTCACCCCAACAGATACCATCATCTAATGTGACATGGTAAAACACAATGAGCTATGCCAGTATTCTAAGTACCTAACTCTGACTGTACTAAAGATTGTGGCCTGTGCTTGCTAATTTTATGTCTACTCGACACAAGCTAGAGTTCTCTGAAAGGAGGGAACCTCAGCTGATAAAATAAGATCAGGCAGTAGGGCATTTTCTTAAGTAGTGATTGTGGGTGGTACCACCCCTGGGCTGGTGGTCCTGGGTTCTGTAAGAAAGCAGGCTGAGCACGCCATGGGGAGCAAGCCAGTAAAGAGCACCCTCCATGACCTCTTCATTAGCTCCTGCCTCCAGGTTCCTGCCTTGCTTTAGCCCCTCCCTTTGCTTTTGGTGACAAACTCTTAACGTGGAACAGTGAGTGAAATCCCCCAAGTTGCTTTTAGTCATGGTGTTTCATCACTGCAATAGTATCCCTAATTAAGACAGTGCCTATGCTGCCAAGAGATTGCTATGTCTTCCGTGTCGTGTTGAGGTACAGAGGTTACACATGAATAAGCCTTTCATTCACCTTTTCTGTGCTGCCCATGAGCCGTAATCTGTTACCTTTCAGGGACACCTTTCCTGTGGCTTCTGTGGTAGAGGGCACAGGCCGAACCACCTTAGCTCTTGACCTGATTTTGTCTACAATATACACAACTTCCATATGCCCCAGAAAGTTAGGTTGGAGATAGAGTGAATTTTACATACATGTTCCACAGCATCTTATCAAAATTTACACTCATAAGAGATGATGACATTGGGATATGGTCACTTCTCTCCCAAACGACATGGCCAGAAACACTTGAGGACCACTCTGCTCACGGCTCACTCCTCTTCCAGGAATGCTTGCACTCAAAAATCTCCTTTCTTTGGGGGCACCCTTCTCTCAGTGGCACATCCCCGGAGACATCCTTCTCTCAGAGGTGCCCCTCTTAGAGACACCGCTCTTCATGATACAGAAAGTCTACACTTGGCAGCTAGATCCCGTGCTAGGTGCTTTCTGCTGTATTAACCCTTTAATACTCATAGCTATTCAGGGTGCTGCGTATCATAATCCCTAATTTGAAAACAAAATTAAACCAGGTTTCAGAATGAATAAACATACCAGACCAAAGCCTTGTGCTTTTGAGGTCTTGTGTACATTCCCAAGTCAATCACTCCCCGTTTCACGGGGAGACACAACTGCACTACTGATCCATTTTCTCACCATGACCCAACTCAAGCACTCCCTGCTTCACCGGGAAACACAAGGACAATATTGAAAGGTGCCTTCTCTGAGTGTGTCCCTCCAAAGGACCATAAGACCATGCTTTCAACACAAGGCAGACTGTAGGAAGACAGCTTTACTAGAAACCTGCACAAAATCTCTAAGAGAAAAGGCACTGACGTTTTTCACATACCTTTAAAATACTCGTCCTCATTTACCCTTCCCTACATCACCATCTCCAGATACAAATATAGAAAACACATTTCAAAACTAAATTCATAAAACTTAGAAGGTTTAGCCTTCCCTTCCTGCTGACAGAGATGCTAAATAACAGACAGAGGAAATAAGAAGACATGCAATAGTAGGTGAGATGATGGACATCCCTAAGTAGATTCATAATGCCAGATGACTAGTATGGAACCTGTACCATACCTAAGCCATCATTTTAACTGAAGATGGATGTCAGTGTTATAACAGAGGGAGTAAATGCCATGCCAGTGTGAGACTAAAGGCTCTTTCTAGAGCACCGGCCACTATCTACAGAGCTAACTCCTAATCACTACAACTAGTGCTGCAGCATCAGAGCTAACTCCTACTCACTACAACTATTGGCTCAGTATCCATTCACATATAGTAGCTCAGGAAGGGCCCGCAGCTTGCCAACTTGACAAACCACTGAGTGTTTGAATCCCAAACTTCCATGTACTCACACAATTTGCTTACATCCACTGAAACTGCCCAAATCCACTTAAAACATACCCTCCACTTGGATTTCCCAAAGATAGATTACTTCCCCCACACACACACACAAATGAAATGAACGAGAATGTTAGTGCTACCTTCCCCAGAAGGCCATCTCTTGAGGCCCTTTCGAGTAGATCGAGGAGGCAGAGTCATGCAGTCCATTGGTGATCCCCGTAGAGTAGCCCATCACTATCCCACCATCTGCTGACACACTCAGGACATCCTGGTGTCCTCCCACAGAGGTCCTCTCCAAGAACTGACCACCTTCTCTGATGCGCTGTTGGATCATGGGAGTCAGCGGCATCTCAAAGCTAAAGTAGCTATCAGGTTCTGAGTACAGAGTCTCCAATGACTCTGCACTGTAGTATAGGGACGTGTTGTCCAAAATGGTTTCAAACTGGCTGCTGTACACATCTGTGGAGTCCTCCGTGTATCCAGTCCCAAGAATATCATCATCTCCTCCCCGCAGGGGCTCCTCCTGTTTGAGAATCCTGGAAAATGAGTGAAAGAGAACGTTTTTCAATATTTGAGTTCACTTTTTCTTTTCAATTTCCTGCCTTCAACCAACCATATTTTAAAAAAAGGTAGTGCAGTATTAATCCACTGGATATAATCCAGTGTTACATCCACAAACTTACAGCTTAATAGTGTATTTGGAAAGAAAGATATGAAGCCTGTTTAGGTGAAAATATTCTCTCTAGATTATTTTGTGCATGTGAGTGCTTTGCCTGAATGTTTGTGTGTGCACAGGTATTCCTGGAGCCCACAGAAATTAGAAGGGGGCATCAGATCCCCTGAACCTGGAGTTGTAAGCCCCTTTGTGAGCACTGGGAATTGAACCCAGGTTCTCTGCAAGAACAACAAGTGCTCTTAACTACTAAGCTAAATCTCCAACCCAAGGTTAAAATATTCTTAATACACATGTCACTAACCTATAACAGTTTAGTGAAGTTCCAGACTAGTTTCCTATATCTTCTAATAATGCATATTTGAAAAAAAATCACATTTTCTTTTCAACCAGCTATATCCAGATTATACAACTATCATCATTAATCATAAAGGGAAGCACATAAAACATCATGTAAACTTGATACTGTAAACGATCAGTAAAAATGCACTGAACTCTCACTGGCTATTAATACTTCCTGATCTAAGTGAGACCAGATGCTCTCTGGTGAGAATCCAGCGGCTACCCTCTGCTGACAGAAAGTAGAACTGCAGAGACTTCAGGTTCCCAGGGGGTAGTACTAAGTAAACTTCTAAAAGGCTAACAACAACTGAGCTCTTCCCTGGAGAGGACTATTTGTCTGGATCTCAGTATCCCTCAGCTGCCTTCAGTCCTTTGGGCACGGCTAAGGTCTCCTGGGCTTTTCCACCCCTGCTCCTGTCACATGCTGTCCTTGTACAGCTCATGGTTACACAGTCAGGTTAGTGAGATTTTATGTGTGGAGCTTGACATTCCTACCAATGAGCTATCCAATACCATACAGTCAACCCTGAAGACATGCATGCAAGTAACACTGTACAGACTGAGCAGGCTGTAATTATATATTTAGGAAAATATATGTCTATTTCATACATGTATGTAACATATATATGCATTTAACAACAATTAATTTAAAAACCAGAGACCGAATTTCAAGGAGAGTGCAGAAGGGTATATGGGAGGGTTTGGAAAAGGGAAAGAGAAGAGGGGAACAATTATCTTTAAAAAGGAATTTTTCAAAAAGCTGGTAGACATGACAAATCATAAAAAGCTAGATATGAGTTAGATATGAATATGAAGGACAGGGGCATCAATGGTGTACAGATGTTAAGAATTAATATCCAGCATGGTCTTCAGACATTAAGATGAACATTCAGACAACTTAGGTAAGTCAGTGGTCAGAGAAGTAAGTCAAAAGAAAACATGGGTCTGATTTCCCACAGTGTTGCCTACTTGCTATATAATTTTAGGTGACTTTACTTGACCTCTCTGCACCTGTGGTTCCCGTGACTAGCAAATAAAGAAGAAATAAGAAATATCTATTAAATGTCTCATAAATGGTTCCTAGGTATTACCAAAACCCGCACTCAATGGTATGACTGCCTTTGTTGGTATTAACCTACAGTCATCCCACTGGGTACCAAATAATTTCTGGGCTGACACCTCTTACAGCTTTTTCACTGCTTTTGAATGAAAACAAAGATCCTGTACAGACCTCATTCCTCATTTTCTGTCTGGCCTGCTGTCTCAGTTCTCAGGTCTCACTTAATTAACGTGTTTACAGAAAGATTTTTATCCAAGCTGCCACCTGATTAGCGTCTTTCTTTCCATTCAAGTTTATCTCTCCAGTAGATCTCTGTTCTTCCCTTCACAGGCCCTAGTTAGTGTCTTTGTGGTCAATTTGTATATTTAGCACTGAAGTCCACAGACCAGGATCTCAGGTATTTTCCCCACTCTTTTATGTCCAGCAACTAACAGGACAGGGACACAACAAGCAACTTGAAAGCATTTCTAGAAAAAAAAGGGGGGAGGGCAGAAGCAATGAATTACTAGTCTGAATAGCAGTAAAAGTGCACACTTCAGAGTGATATAAAGACAAGAGCCATATATTAAGGCTACTTTTGAAAAAAGTCTAGGGATTTTGTGATTCTGATAGTCACCCAAATGAAACATCATCTTAAATGTGTCAATTGGCAGAGGAAGACATACACACAAATACACACAAACACATACACAGACACACACACACACACACACACTCCTTTAGTCTTGACATATTTTTAGCATATAAACTAGTGGTTCTCAACCTTCCTAATGCTGTAACCCCTTAATATACTTTCTCAAATTGTGGTGACCCCTCCAGTCATAAAATTATTTCCATAGGTATTTTTCTACTGTAATGAAATCATAATGTAAATGTCTATATTTTCCAATGGTTTTAGGTAACCCTTGTAAAAGGGTCATTCAACACCCAAACGGGTCATAACCCACAGGTTGAGAAACACTGATACTCATGTGTGAATATCATGGAACAAGTGAATTGTAGTCTAGTGTACCTCTGACCTTCTGAGATGTCCTTTCAAGTCCAAGAGAAATGCCCAAACCTCTATGTCCTATAGGAAAACAGGCTGCACTATAGGCTGGATGCATGCACCGTTTGCACTCACAGGAAAGCCACAGATGGGCTGTGCTGACTACACAGGACAAGTCAGAAGGCTTTAGTCTTTCATGTTGAAAACACATTTGCAAGGTTGGCTTACTGCAGTCTCTTTAGCCTTGCTCCCCTGATCCTTGTCTAAAAGACAGCTGTATTACATGAAGACTTTTCTCTTAGAAACTGTAATCTAAGAAGAGCCTAGCCGGGCAGTGGTGGTGCACGCCTTTAATCCCAGCACTCAGGAGGCAGAGGCAGGAGGATCTCTGTGAGTCTGAGGCCAGTCTGGTCTACAGAGCAAGTTCCAGGATAGGCTCTAAAGCTACACGGAGAAACCCTGTCTCGAAAAACCAAAAAGAAAAGAAAAGAAAAGCCTAGATTACAGTAATTTCTCTTCCATTCTGTGACAATATGAACAATAAGTATGGCAGCCCTCCCATTTATGCACAGGGATAAATCGCCATTGGTATTAAACCAAAAACTATAATGATTCCTAAATATGTCATTTCTATACCTATGAGAACGTTACTGCACATTAGCCACAGTAAGAGATTTAGTAATCATAACAAATGGAACAACTGTAATAATACACTGTAATGAAACTTATGTAAAACATGAATTATTTATTTCTAGAAGTCTCCATTCAATATTTTGAACATCACAGCTGACTCTAGGTAAATGGAATAAACCTTGTAAAGCAAACTGGACCTGTGTGAAGAGCTCCCACATCAGCCAGGACAGCAATTACCTACAACACATTCCAGGCATCACAAATAGCATGACAGCTCTAGAGCTCACCTTTCTTTATCTCCCTGTAGATCAAGGTTTTCTTCGAGGTGTTCTTTGCTTTCCCTCAGGAAGACTTCATCCTCTCCACTCTCACCAAGAGGCACAGGGGACAATGTCCCCAAGTTCGTGCCAGGCTTCACTGAAGGAACTTTCCAGGTTTCATCCGAAACACTCCCAGTTAAATTAACAGAATTGCTGCACAAACCAGCAGCTGAGCTGTGACGGCTTGGTCCTTTGGCAAACCCCTTGCTGACAGGAGAGGCTGTCCTTTCTGGTGATGTCTCAACATCTACAGGATACTGGGTCTCTGCTTTGTCTCCTGTCCACAATATCTCTACTCCTTGAAACTCGACATGTTTGATCCGGCCTTGCCGCCCCATGAAGACACCCGAATCACATCCTCTAGGGTGCTCTCTTCCAAGGTCAGACCTCTGATCTTTCAAGACACCAGCTCTGTCAACAGGGTTATGGCTCCCTGTTGAGGTCCCCAGTGATGACACAGGACATGCTGGCTCCTGCACACAGAGAGGCCCTTGTCCCCTGTAATTAGCTATCTGGGACAGTTCTGTCTGAGCTTCTTCAGGTAAGAGTGCAGTCAGATCCTCCTGAATGTTCAAAGAAAAATTTCCATCTGTCGGTACTTCCACTGAAGGAGGTAAGTCTGGTGACTTTCTGCCAACAGGGAATGTTCTATGGGTTCTCTGTGGCTTGTGACCGGCAGTACTCAGCTCTTCATTCACCTGCTGAACTGAGAAATTAGCATCTTCCTTCAGTACCTTTGTAGCCTGAAATGTTCCTGAAGCTATTCTGGCTTCTGTAGCTTTCAGAGCAGAAATTAAAGAGTCAATGGGTTGTAAACTTTGTCCCTGAGGGTGACACTGAGAGGCATCATTTGGTCCTTCTGTGACACTGCTGAGCGTAGAGTCTTGTCCAGCAAGAAGGTGGACGGCCTGCTGCTCTAGCGGCCGGCATGGCAGAGACTTTGCATCAAAGTCTAGAGAGGCTCTTAGGCCTTCTCCTCCTTCTTCCATGGTCCCATATTCTGGAAATTCATTTGTGACAGTCGGTGGGAGTAAAGTGCTTCCTCCATGATCACCTAAGAGTGGAACAGAACGGAACCATGACACTGGGATCTACTGTGCATTAAGAAAAACACAGTCAGCAAGACAAAAAGGCAGCCCACAGAATGGGAAAAAATATTCACTAATCCCACATCTGACAGAGGGTTGATCTCCAAAATTTACAAAGAACTCAAGAAGCAAGTCTCCAAAACATCAAAGGACCCTATTAAAAAGTGGGCTGCAGAACTAAATAGAGAGTTTTCAATAGAGGAGTCTAAAATGGCTGAGAGGCACTTGAGAAAGTGCTCAACATCCTTAGCCATCCGGGAAATGCAAATCAAAACAACTCTGAGATACCATCTCACTCCTGTCAGAATGGCTAAAATCAAAAACACCAATGACAATTTATGCTGGAGAGGATGTGGTGAAAGGGGAACACTCCTCCATTGCTGGTGGGAGTGCCAACTGGTTCAGCCACTTTGGAAATCAGTATGGAGATTCTTCAGAAAAATGGGAATAAACCTACCACAAGACCCAGCAACTCCACTCTTAGGCATATATCCAAAAGATGCCCATTCATACAACAAAGATGTCTGTTCCACTATGTTCATAGCAGCTTTATTTGTAATAGCCAGAACTTGGAAGCAACCTAGATGTCCCTCACCCGAAGAGTGGATAGAGAAAATGTGGTACATCTACACAATGGAGTACTATTCAGCAGAAAAAAATAATGGAATCATGAGATTCGCAGGCAAATGGATGACACTAGAAGAAACCATCCTGAGTGAGGTAACCCAGTCACAAAAAGAGAAACATGGCATGTACTCTCTCATATATGGATTTTAGACATAGATCTGGGGAGTGCCAGCCTACAATCCTATGGCCAGAGAGTCTGGGAAACAGAAACTTCATTTAGTGGCTGGTTAAGTACTGAGCTGAACTCAAGAAAGCCAGTAACAGAGAGGGAGGACTGATGATCAAAGGGATTAAGACTGGGCTGGTTCAGCCCCCCGAAACAGCTGACCAGACAAAGGTTAACTCTTGAATCCCAGGCATCAGCCTGGGAATCCAGCATGGGACTGATCAATACCCCCTGAATTTGGGTGTCAGTGAGGAGGCCTAGGGAACCTATTGAGCCTTGGGCAGCAGATCAGTACCCATCCCAAGTATACACACGGACTTTGGACTCCCATAGAACAATGTGAGGTGCACTCTCACCCTGAACTCTTGGGGAAGGGTCTAGGCCCTGCCCTATATGAAATGACAGACTATGGACACCCCCATGGAGGGCCTCACCCTCCCAGGGGGAATGAGGGGATAACGGGGGGGGTTGTGGGGGGAGGGCATAGGAGGAGGGGAGGGAATGGGAGAGGGACCTTGAACTGACTTGTGAAGCAACCTCGTTTCTTATCTAAATTTAAACTGGAAAATAAAAATAAATAAATAAATAAATAAATAGCATTCATGAAAAAAAAAAAGAAAACCCAGACATGCTAGGTTCTCAATAAGATTTGCTTACTATTTCCTTCCACCCCACCCTGTAACACACACCTCCTCCAGCCTTGCAGTGGCCCCTCTATGCAGCCTACATATACGCCACCACAGAAGTTCCTATATAGGAGAAGGCAGTCTAACGACTTACATCATATTAACCCCGATGCCCAAGAAATCCCAGAAATGGGACTCTGGTAACTCAGTTCCTTCATATGTACAAATATTAAAATTATGGTATCACTATCCAAATACCACTGGTGAAATAATAAATATTGATGTGGATTATAACACCAAGCTGCCTTACAAAGGTACCATGAAATCTGAGACTGGACCTCAGGAAAGACAAGCTTTACTTAAAGTCGGGAAATATTTTCCAGTTGGAAGTCTGTTCTTCCTGTCATATAGTAGGGAGGAAGGCATTTTTAAAACTTCCCTGAAGAGTGACAGTGAAGTCAAAATGTAAGAGGAAACACAATGTTCAGAAAGGTTTCTAAGATTTCAACTGTATGTAATTATTTTGCATTTATTTATTTTCTTAATTGATACATAAAATTTACACATATTTTGAAGGTAATTTGATGCACATCTATATCACTGCGGGATGACTAAATTAATCTAAGAAGCATATGTTAATTACCTCAATACTTGGAATATATATTTTTAATGTTAAAAATACTTAAAATCTATTCTTCCAGTAATTTCAAGTAGTCATTATTAAGTATAGTCACTATGTTGTAAAACAGATTTCTTGAATTGACTTCTAACTGAAATTGTGTGTCCACTGATGGCATCTTCCCAATCACCACCTTGTTCCCAGCCTGGTGATCACCATTCTAGCCTCTGTTCCAATGGACATCTTCCCAGTGCAACCCTGTCCCCAGCCTGGTGACCACCATTCTAGTTCATGAGTGCAACATTTTGAGAGTTCACATATAAGGTTGGCAACTCCATAAAATTTACTTACATCATGCAATGAATTCCAGTATATAAAGCAAAAGAAACAATATTTAATTGATATTTGTTATAAGCAATCAAATATACATTTTCCTATTCAAATGAGACCCAATACCAGTCAGTGAGACACGAGAATTGGGAAATATTTCATTAAACAATTTTAATGAAAGTTTTTAGGGATAATAACTTAGGTCAGTAGCTAACCTCCCTTTGAACATGTTTTTTTTTACTAAGTCAGGAAAATTCTCATCTATGGCATACTAACTTCCATTTTATGAAAGAGAACTTTCATTGTTTACAAGCCACTATAGAGCCATAGGCTTGCTCTTCAGCAAGACAGGTAATAAATGTCTGACTACACACACACAAGTTGGATGACAGACACGGCTGGAGAGACATCAACAAAATGGGGTATCTTGAAAGCATGTGTTACTATACCGAAGATATTCACCACATACTAAAATTTGGTAAATAGTAATAGTATATCTGAGCATCTATATTGTTTTGCACTGTGCTTTGAACACTTTGAAATATACTTTCAACATTAAATTTGAATAAAATATTATACAATCTTGGACACACCCTTGAAGTACTTACAAGTTCTCCTGATGGAACTAATAAGACATACTTTCCTAACTCTGAAAGGAAGCAACTTTTCAAACCTTGGCTTTGAAAAGGAAGACAGCTGAACAATTGGAATCCCTTCCCCTTGGAAATGTATTGACCCTTTAGCAGGTGCCTGACTCTAAGTGTTTCTGTTTAAACCCAAGGTCAAATGCCACCCCCTGCCCTAATCAAGAGAACCCTCTGTCTGCCATGACGAGAAATGAATGGCGCTTGGCTGCTCAAGGTGCTGAGAAGTGACAGTTGATTGCTTAGCCTTGAACAGGCTATGCACAAGTTTTTAATTATCTTATTAAGTTTATTTTATTCTTATACTGAGTGGATTTATACTCAGTGACAATATTGAGTGGATTTCTGAAAACTCATTTCCACTTTGCATTCCTCCTGCATTGAAGTTCTCTGGGGTGCTATTTATTACACCTACACTCAACTGCTTTGCTAAGCTTGTGTTTTAGATCTCATAGTATTTTATACATTTCTTGAGGTTTTCTACATAAAACGCTATCCATGAATAGAGAGGTTTGCATCTTCCCAGTCTCAACCAATCTTTCTCTCATGGTCTCTCTCAACTCCCCTTCCAATGTTAGGTCACTGCTTCTAAACTGAAGGTTCAATCCTTGGAAAGGGTTTGCTTCTGACATACACAAGGACATTCTGAACTTACTGTCCTTTGCCTTTGTTCAGTACCTTTTCTTACTTGACATACTTCCTTTCATCTCAAATGATCACACTATTTTTACCCTTCCAGATCTAACTCCATTTCACTACCTTAAAGTAAATCTTCCTTTGATAACCAACTATAGGAAAGAAGGAAGGGAGGAAGGGGGAAGGGAGAGAGGGAGGGAGGGAGGAGAGAGGGAGGATGGGGGAGGGAGGCATTTCCCTCACTGGAAATACCAACAGAACCTTAGCTGTTCACAGACATGAAATCAGAAGCATAACGTTAACACACATTTTAAGGTTCAAACAGCTGCAATTTTTACAGATGTGCTGTTTTTATTTATGTGTATATGTGTGCACATGTCTGCCTGAGTACCTGCTATATCTGCATGAACGCCTCCATCCCCTGGGAGGCGGGGCTGCAGTTAGGAGCCACCCAGCATTGACACCCGCAAAGTTCCTCTAGAGGAACAGAGGGGTTTGAAACCAGTGAGCCATTTCTCTAGACTCCAAACAGTTACAATATCTAACCAACCATGACATATTTTAAGAAACTCTACCACAGTGGAAATGAAACCATATGCATACCAAAATCCACCACAGTGAATCTCATTCAGAAGAACAAAAACGTGTTGACTGACATCATCTGGGAGCCCACTTTGTCCTGATAGCTTAGTTTTCCATCCATAAAATAAGCATGAAAATAACCACTGGCCCAGGAAAGTAACAACAAAAAAAAAAAAAAAAAAAAAAGAGAGAAACGGGCTCTCAAAAAGATACGGTAAGTCTGTCACTGCAGCAGTTTTATTGAAATGTCGTTCAGAAGAAAAAGGAAATACATCAAGTATAGGAAATGCTTGTGACACTTGACACAACTTGGCAACTGGTCCAAGCAAAGAGATCAAAGAAATGAGAAAGTTAGGAGAAACCCTGCAGGACTCCTAGCAGGATTTACTACTCCAAAAGCTCTCCTGGCCTACGCTTATTTTCTAGAAAGAACTAGTTCAGTAAGTTTCATTTACTTTTTAGTAAGTAAAGACTAGCACAGACAGTCAAGGACAAATAAGGGGCTAAGGAGCTCAAGTGTGCAAACAGTATAGTACATTGACTGTCTTCAGCTTCACAGGGATAAATCTGTGGGAAAGATTCAGACGCCACTAAGCAGTGAGGTCACTGTTTTTCATAGCAGTAAAGTTAACAAAAGCAACAGAAAACAAACATTCGTCTACTTGTAGTGGTTTCTGCATACAAACAACTTCTCTGGGTACCATACACTCCTTCAGAGGACATGTCACAGGACCAG